GATACCAACCCATAGTGACCTTATGCACAGCAGAACGAAATTGCTTCAATGAGTGTTGATAGTTGATCCAAGAACAATGAAGTCCTTGACAACTTCAATCTTTTCTCCATTGATAAGAATGTCTTTAACGGACTTCTCATTCTGCCTCACAATTAAGTTCCTTGTCTGTCTTCCTATCATTGTCATTCTCGCTTTAGGCCTCTGAACTGTGTCTCCTTAAGAGTGGCCCTGTTTCTTTGCTGTCATCCTTTGCCTTTTCAGGGCTCAGTATCTCCCCTGAGCCTTGCCTGTCTTCAGTGTCTCATCTCTGCCTAGACCGATTTCAACCCTTTTTATCTTCTATCCTCTACAAACTCCAGGCCTTGCCTCCCTTTGCCTTCCTTTGACCTTTTTATATGACCTCCTCACCACCCTCTGGACAAACTAATCTCCTCTAATAGTTTTCCTCCCATTCTCTTACCCCTTGCCATGAGGCAATCTCGTCTCAAAGCACTGTCCTTGACTGCATGTTAAAAACTTTTCCAAGGTCTCATGACCTCATGACCCCCGGTAGGCTCCGAACTCTTTGTGGCCAGACTCTGGGACCCTGGACTTCCGCCATGACATTGTTGTATTTGAAGTAATCATTGGAAAACTGGGCCACCCGGACCAATTTCACTACATAGATTCTTGGCTCCGAATCGCTAAGACTCTCACTCCCTGGAGAGTCTTAAGACTAAGAATGTGCCCTCAGGAACAATCTCATAAGGTTCTGTCACTCTCGTAGCGCAGTGCCAGATGATGCCACCTGTCACAACTCCCCGAACTCCCCTCCACCACCCCTCCACCCTCGCAGTCCTCCAAGACCCAGGGGACTCTGCCATTGATGTCCCCTCCTTATAACTACCCATCTAACAACCCTCCTGCTCCCCTTCCAGCCCGTTTCTCCTCCTCAGGTCTCAGATCCTATTCGTCTTTCCCTCTCCTCACACATCGCCTGTGCTCCTAGTTCGATTCAGGCCTCAGAACCCCCGCCTACCCTGCCATTCTGAGACTGCACCTTCCTGGTTTACATCCTGAAAGGGACAGAGGCCCAGCTTTACTGAAAAGCCCCAGGCCCTTACCAACCCTTACCAGGTAACATTGAGACGTACAACCTTGCCCTGCTTCAGCCACAAACCGGGAGCTGACTGGTCTAGGCACGGCTAAAGCATCGTGGGACTCATTTTAATTAGACTTTGGGGTATGGGAAAGGGAGAAATCTGTGTAATCTATACATCCACACCACCAAGGTGGGTCAAACAGTAACCACACTAGTGTTCTATAGTTGCTATAAATGTAAGG